TTGTAAGTTACCAACTGCATGCCAAATCCCAGCCACCACCCCCAGTGGAACCACAAAGCAACACCCCAATTTATTTAAAATCCACCATTTTAATAAAAATAAATAAACCAAGCCATTTATTCAAATACAGGAACAATTTATTCAAACACGGGAACAATTTATGCAAACATATGTAGGAACAATTTATTCAAAAACAGTTATGTCATCTTCTTCTGGAACATCGTCATAACACTCCATAGCCTGATTTCCTCCTGGCATCTCTTGTGATTCCATTGCCTGTAAAAGAATTGGTCCCAATCGCTGATGTTTAGCAATAGAGGTCTCCTTAAAGGAGTATCTCTTGTCCATGTATCCTGCTCGTAGTGCATTGGCAACACAGGTGTCAGTGATGGTATCCCACGCCTTCTTCACCCAACTCACAACCTCTGCCAGGCTAGGCTTCACAAAGTTTCCTCATTGGTTTCTCTCTATGTGATTCTCAATATAGTCATTGATTTGTACCTGCAGATTGTCCTTGAATGGTTTGTTTACTGCAATGTCCAGGGTTTGGAGATGTCCTGTCATTCCTGCTGGGATCATTATTTGATCCACTCTTCTTTGTGCAAGGAAACGCTTCATGTCTTTGGCACGGTGAAGTGCTGGCTGCATCCCATATTACCATGCCTCTTTGGCCACCTCACACAACAAGTGGCCGTATTAACTCGATCCACTTCCTTATAACACCCTGTGTGCACCAAGCCTTTTCCGTTTCAAGCACATAAATCCCTGAAACACGTTCAATTTTTTCTTTTTTGCCCTTGGCAATGACAAGAGGTGCTACTTTTGTCCCACCCAGGCGAATGGCCAAGATGCACGTAATACGTGCACTTTTGTATCCAGTTGATGGAATGTAAATTGATGAGGCACCCCTCTTATCAATTGTTGTTTGAGCCGCTTGGTCCCCAAAAACTGCAGTCTCATCCATTGCAATCATGTGGGAGACATTATATTTGGAGAAATCAATGGCATCAACAAATGATTTAAAAGCAAGTGCCTGTTTGACAATCTCAGCATCTTCTAGCTTGAAGAGCGAGGTGGATCTCCTCAGAGACAATTCATATCGCTGAAGGAAGCCATCCAGCCAGCGATGAGAGGCTTTGAATTCTCCTTGGGTAATTTCAAACTGTGGTGCCATTGCAAGGGCAAATGCTTGAATATCAGCCCTTACAACAAAAGCCTTTGCTCTCCTGTCAGCAATCCATTGAGAGATGGTGTCTTCAAGTTCAGGATATAATGGATGCCGACCTGATCCACACCTGTGCTTCTTGGCATTTCCCTTCTGCACCTGTTGACTGAGGTTATCATATTCAGCTCTCCATTTTTGGACCATATGGAGATGCAACATATTCTCTTTGCAGAAAGCGGTCAGATTCTTACCACGAGAATCCTCCACAATTGCTTTCTTGAATTCCACAGAGTAGCTCTTTCTTTTTAAACTCATCTTCTCTCTAGACCAAAATAAAAACCACTTTAGATCATTAACTCAATTAATCAATTAACCCAAACACATTAGGCCACCTTGGGGTGGTGGCTGGGATTTGGCATGCAGTTGGAGCTGGGATGGAGCCACCAGGAGAATTCACTGAGAATGACCAGGTTATGCCCGGAACTATGCGGGACACCCTTTGTGGATGCCTGGGCAAATTGTGGCAGTAACTGGTCCTAATTCTTACAGGGTCCTACTGCAAGTCGGGAGCATCTGGCGCCGCCATATCGACCAGCTTAGAAGGCGTTGGAGTGCATTTGCAGATGGCCCTCAAGATGTTCCTGCAACAGACAAACCGCCCAAAGAAACTTCCCTCGGATCCGACAAGAACGCAAGCCTACCTGAACAGCCATGGGTCCCTCGCCTGGAAACGCCTGAAGCTGAGACGCCAGCTTCATCGGCACCAGAAGTTGCCCAGCAAGCAGAGAAGTTCCTTCCAGCAGCAGCTTCACCAGGACTTAGAAGATCTGGACGCCTGCGCAAGCGCCCGAGTTATCTAAAGGACTACGCATGCTCCTTTCTGGGGTAAAGGAGTGTGGCGTTCAGGAGAGACTAAGCCAAAGTCTTCACTCCGGTCTGTGTTTCCAGCGGGAACATGGACCGCTCCTATTGGCTTATGCCATTTGACAGCTGGTTATAAAAGGGAGCTGTAAAGTAACAGCTGAAGTTCGCTCCGAGTTTGCCTCAGGTTATTCCGCCGCTCTAAAACAATCTCCCTACAGGATCAGTAGCTGTTCAGATGTTGTTCAACTACCAATATGTATTATGTGTGAGTTTTCTCTGTTTTAACCTTTGTAAACTGTCTTAGAGGGGTGGCCATATATATCATAAATAAATAAATGTTCAGAGGTTTCAGACAGCTGAGAGGTATAGTTCAGTTACTTTTGGCAGACCATGAATTTCCTTACCCTGCAATAGAGAAAAGGTATCTCCTTTGGTACAGTGTTTTCCAATCTTAGAAACTTTAAAATGTGTGAACCTCAACTTCCAGAATTCCTCAGCCATGCATATAGATACAACATGAGACTAAAGTAACTACTAAGTAGAATAAAAGGAACTCAAATTTGGATAATTGATTATGGAAGATAGATTTGCATTCAACTTAATGTTCAGAATTTCAGATTTGTAAAAGCCCCCCAAAGCAGTAGCTAAAGGAAGCAATGAATAATGAATTAGATTTTTGTTTGTAAAGGTTGTATTGAATCAGATTTGGTTTGGCAAATAAAGATTTTGTAGTTGTTAGTTCCATTTCACAAGAGAAATTTCTAAATGTATATAGTTATTCATATTAAAGATTGGGTTCATATTTTATGTAGGGGATAATTGGATTATTTGGTTTTGATTTAGCACAATGGGTGAACCTAGCCCTAAAAGGATGGAATCAATTAATGAGTCAAATTTCGTCAAACAGGCTGGTAAACAAGTCCTAAAAGCCAAATCCAACCCCTTTCCTCTCTCTGCATCACAAATATTTTCCTACACATCTATTGAATACTTTAGTAATTTTCTGTTTAGTTGAAACAAAACCATAGTTTGGATCTCTTTTACCTTTATGAACAATGCGGCTGCCCGTTTTCCTTATGGAACAGAGCATATGCGACAGTGGTGGTATTCTACTGGTTCGGCCTGATTCGGCTGTGACTGAACGGTTCCCTCCAATGATCAGCTGCTGGGCCCTCCCGCCCACCCTGGCTCTATAACCTTTATTTCCTGCTTTTCAACCTCAGTTGCTTCGCGCGGCACAGCCGATTGCCACGCATCAGCTGTTTTACACACAGGGCTTACAGCAGGAGGTAAGATCTTGAAGTGAAAACTGAGCCTGTCACTGTTATTGTGTAAGACTGAGAGCTGGGTGACTTGCCAACTATACTTTAAAGAAGGAAGTTCTCATATTGTTCATCCATCTAAATTATAATTATTTACATTAAAAGGCATTTTTTTTTACTTCAGTACTTTTTTTTCCTGGAGGCATCAAGTATTGAAAGGGGAAAAAAGGGAGTTGATGGCAGCATCAAGTGTTGAGTGGGAAAGAAAGGGAAAATATGCAATATCGTACTATATATGCTTGATCCAGTAATTGAATTGATTGACCACAACTTTTTGGGTCGTTTGGCCCACATCCCCCCATCTAATTTGGATTTTTTTAAGAAATGAAAGGCGTTTAGTATAATTAATTACATGTGATTTTACTACCATTTATAACTGTAGGGCATGCACTGCAGCACCCAAGCCAGCCATTCTTTAAGCTAAGTTTTAACTAGGATTTGAACAAGCTTGATGTACTAAGGCTGAAAAGTATTTAATGAAAGGCTACAGCAAGTAGCGTCTCAGCAAAGGGCAGCACCTACTTAAGAAAACTCTGTGGATGTGTCCCAGAAGTTGAGCTTGATTCAAAGGAGGTTTTGCTTTAAGCTACAGCCAGCAAACTCTGCTTTACATTGAAAAGCTCACAGACTAGATTTGATCAGCATTCGGAGTTGCTGGGAATTAAGTGGCATGCATGTGTAAAAAAAATCATATTATTCAGATTGAAGAACTTCCAATAATCTGGAAACTACAGACTGAAGTGGGAAATTAAAAAAAAATATTGCCTAGTACTTGCCCAAATCCCACCCCCCTGCAAATAGAAGAAAGGTGGCCATGGAAATCAATCTGTTACAGTGTGTGCAGGAGATCACCCTACAAACTTTTTGCATGAATAAGAAAAAATGAAATTATAAACCACGGTTTTGATGATTGAAAAAATATATACAAAAAATGGATATTATCTTACAAACTAGAGATAAATTTATACTTTTAACTGCTGTAAAGAAAACTAGAAGTTACTTCTTTATATTCTTTCCTTTCTTTTTGCACTTTTGGCTTTCTTCTTTTATTCTAAATATTATAATTGTTAGTTTTCATGTCGATTAAAATAAAATATAGAAAAAAGAAAAAGAAACCAACGTAGACATAATCACCAGAGGCATAGCCCTATTCAGAAGGGAATTTTATTATTTTAAGGAGGGAGTGTAGCCAAATATTCCTATTGGATTTCAAGCTTTTAAAACACTCCCAGAAGTATGAATGCAATCTCATATTTAATAATAGGAAGAAAGCTGTAGATTTATTAAAAGTCGCGCATTTTTCTCCCCAAAGGGACGGAACAAAAGCATACGCCCGCTTTCGCAGAGCCCCTGTTCTCCTGCCTTCTCTGAAAAAGAGCCTTGCATAAAAAGCGCAACTGTAAAGGATCAGGAACTCCACCAATCACTGGAGCCACTGGTGTGTGGGTGCACGTGCTCAAGCAAGCCCGTCCCTCCCGTGATCTCACCAGTTCGCATTCCCCATCCGCAAAACTTGCACATGCTTTGGTCAGGATTTCACCCGGCTCCGTCGCTGTTGCGCTTGCGCAGAAGTGAGACTACAGTTCCCGAGAACCTTGAAGAAGGGCTGCGACGCATGCTCCCATCCGGGACAAACGTGCTGTTTTCTGTCTCCTCCTCCTGCTGCTGCTGCTACTGCTGATGCAAGAGCTGAGCGCGGCGGCGAGGCGAGCAAGACGGACTGAGCGATTGACTTCCTGGACAGCGTTGTGCGGTTTTTTTTCTTTCTTCTCCCCCCACCCGAGACGGGCGCTTCTGAGTTTCTGCTTTGACGGTCAGGGAGATCCGTCGCCATGTCGGGAGACGAGGTGAGGACAAGAGAGGTGCCCAGGCCTGGGGCGGCGTGAGGCTAGGGCTGTGGCCGCCGCCATGTGAGGAGCTGGGCCTGAGGCCTGCCCGCACCCTGATCAGAGCCCGGTTGAATTAGCTTCCCTGAGCAAAGCCAGCTCCCTTCTCCCAGTCGGTGTGATACGTTTAGGAGCCAGGCTTATTTTTTGCCTGAGTAGCTTGAGGAAACTTCTCCTTTGTCCTTGGTCGCTCTTCTCCCCCCTCCCCCCCGGTGAAATAAGGAAGCCATCCTTTAACCCCCTTTCCCGCCTTAGGTCAAACTGAGTTAATGCCACCTCCACCCCACTGCAGTTTATTTGAGAAAGCAGGAACGTTTCACACACACATATACACATATTTTTAAAAACCGCTGTTTTAAAAAGACATGAGCAACAATGAGACAGACATGGTTGCGTCTAATGTGCTTGGAATGGAGGAGCGGAATGGTCTTCCCTACTATAAGCGCCTGATGAAATGTTGATTTTTGTGAATGGCGTGGCTCGGAAAACCTTCGGTTTGGGGTGCCGGTCTTGGAAGGATCCCTATTAGGTTGCTGCTCTAGCAGCCCGATTTGGAGTCTATTCAAATTTGTAATAAATGAAGCACTGCTTTCAGATTCAGTTAGAAGACTTATATACCTGTGCTTGCCATCACTCTGGGGTTTCTTTCCAAAGTAAACTGTTAATAGTAAGTTTTCAAATCTCTAGAACGAACATCAGAAACCTCGCGTAAATATATCCAGGAGAAGTTGTGGCTCCATTGGAGTTGGGTGCCAATAAATTTAAGTTAATAATAAAACAATCTTGAACTCCCTAGAACTTTTCATGGGCAGAATAATCCCATTATTTCACTGCAATCCTGTTATTCAGACCCTATGATTCCTAAAGATTTATTGATACCTGAGCAAAAACTAGGGAAAGCTTTTGCTTATCTTTCCTGTTTAAAGCAAAAATGCCTCATTTTAAAATTAAAAAGAATTTTGAAGCCTTTGTCATGATCCTTTAAACTGTTCCTGTTAAGCAGTATGTGAATCAATTTCTTCCTGTTTTTGGAAATGTGTTTTCAATCCTTAAGTGGAGAGACTAGTTTTGCAGAAGGAAAATAGTTTTATCTTTCAGTCCTTGAGAAGTTCTGGGCGATATAGAATATGAGTTTGTAATAAATTAGACTATAAGACCGATTTGAATAGACCTCTACATTATTTATAAAGCTGGTGGTGTCAAACTTGATACTGCTACTCCATAAAATGATAACCTGGTATGGTTTGCTATGAATTGAACTAATAATTTCATTTCAGATTTGGATTTGGCAAGAAATAAGTACACTACTTTTGATAATTAAAATTTAATTTTCAAGTCACAAACTTTGCTACTGCTACTTTTCACTGAAAGCATGCCCATAAAGCAAGAGTGAGATTTAGCAGTTGCTTTGCCTAAGCAAGTTTGATTAGATAAAAATTCAAACCCCTAGAGTAAGCTATTATTGAACTGTCAGTTCATATTGTCAGCTCCCAGTTGTAGTCCAGTGATTTATTTAAATCATGTATGATTGGTTTTTGATTCAGTTTGGTTGGTGGAATGATTCATTTTTAGGTCCTTCTTTTTAGCAGAAATACTTAAAAAAGATTTTAATGCAATACTTGGAAAACAAATGTAAAGTAGGTTTTTTAAGGAATAATTATGAAGCACTGCCTACAGAAGGATGAAAAACAAGGTAGATTTCCAGATATTTAGAACTTTTCTGTTCTTCATGAAATAAATGATTTAATAATAAAATGTCAGTTTTACTGGTGCAGTTAAGATGGCTATTAATGTATTAGTTTAATTTTTAAGTCATTTAATAATACGGTTTCTGCCAGCATGTCAGTGTAGATCTGTATTCCATATAATGATGAACTTAATCTTTTTGAAATATGAATTCAGGAATAGACACCTCATGGTTTTTTCTTTTATTGTTTACAGCTGCTTGATGGCATATGGATCATAAGTCCAAAACCTATAAAATTGATTTCCTAGGTATAATACTTGTACTAAAGATTGGTCTCATACAGCTTAATAATTTCTCTCCAGCTAAAAGAAATTTAATTTCATCTTGGTTACAGCAAAATACTTTACATTAGATGAAAATGGGGTTGTGTTATACCAGCCGAATGTAAGTAATGTGTGGGTATTTTGTCTTTTCTCCTCCCACCTTTAGTCTTCATGCCCCATTTGCTTTAAAAAGTTTACCAATTGAAACAACATTGGGACATGTGAAGAATTTCTCCTTGTCTACAGTCCTAGAAGCTCAATTTATTGATTGGCTCATTGGGTATTTGTTCTCCTATCTTGACCACTATTGATATCATTAGGATAGGTTTAATCTGTGTGGTAAAAAAATACAGACATATCTCTTTAGAACTTCAGATATTTTAACAGTAATACTTTAACATAGATATTAAAGAGACATTAGATCATGGATGCTCATTCTGTTGCCTATGGATACTTGATGTTAACCAGGGTAATCACCTACCTACCTTTTAACAGATTGTTTTATTTTTAAAAACCAAAAAGAGTATGGAATACAAGAAAGTGCTAGACACCAGTTTCCTTTTTGAGAAAAACTTATTTTGTGCTAAGCTGTATCAACGTAGCCGACATTTTGAGAGATGCAGAAAGATTCTCTCAATATTACATTTATGCCATTTGATTTTGGACAAGTTCCTATCTCTGCATTAAGTGGACAATTAAAATGGAAAGAACTAATTTAATGAACTTTAAGTTGATGATATTTGAGATACAATTTTTGGTTTCTGTTCTCTACAAAAAATATTATAGCTAGTTTCTAATATTAAATGCATTCAAAGACTTAGAGTTTCTTGTCTTTAAATATAAATTAATATGTATGTTTGTATATGTCTTTTAAGGAAATATTTTTAAAAAGTCCAGTATAACCAGTTAGTGTGGTGTGATTCCATTATAGGATTACTCTAAGATGTAGAGTACTATAATTAAGCTTATAATAGTTTATGAAATACATAAACAGAACTTTTCTGTATAGGTGTGTGAAAAATTGATCTAGATAGGTTTGGCAGAAATATATGCTTTCTAGCAAAAAATCACACTTCATTCAGTGTAATTTACTGGAAAGTAAACACTGGTTTGCAGTGTTCAGCTAGAATATACAGGTCTTGGATTGCCTTCAACATTTGATCTGAATTTTTGGAAGACTATCCAGAATGAGTTTGGTGAGAGAAGTCTGTAGTATCAACTTCTTGTTTTACAGGATTCAAAACTACAGTAGTTTTGTGGTTATATAATGAACAGTTTGATAATTGAGATGAAGGTGTGTTTATTTTCAGATTAATGTAATAAATTCCTACCTAATACTTGAATACCAGATGTTGCTATTCCTTCTGGAACTTCGTAATGGGTGCCTTAAAAAAAGCTAAATATGTTTTGGTGATATTATTAACAATTGTTAAAACTAGTAGATCTTTAAATTGCTGGGAAACCAATCTTGGTGTGTTGGGTTGTGTAGATTATTTCACTGTTTGAATTATGAAAAGTTTTCTATTTTTTCCATATTAAGTTTTCAGTTATTTCCTAATGTACTCTGTACAGCATAGTAGATATCTTATTTTATAAGCTTTCTATTTATGTTGTGTTTGAATAATAATTTAATGTTTATATTTATATGTATACTTACATTTTTGGGCAATGTTTTTGTATTACGTTGCGAATTTGTGTTAAGAAAATACTGATGTTTCTTGCAGATGATCTTCGACCCTACTATGAGCAAGAAGAAGAAGAAGAAAAAGAAGCCGTTTATGCTTGATGAAGAAGGTGGTGATGCACAAACAGAGGAGACACAGCTATTAGAAACAAAAGAAGTAGAGCCAGAACCAGCAGAAGACAAAGATATAGAAGCTGACGAAGAGGACAGCAGAAAGAAAGGTAAGCTATTATATATCTACCAGAAATCGTGTTTTCTGTTTCTTTTTTATTTTTCTGTGACATTTAATTTGTGCTTTTTAAAAGCTTTCCAGAGAAGTCCATATGTTAAGCAGCAGAATGCTTAATAAAATGCTTGGAAAATGTATTCAGGCTTCATTTACTGGCTGGCTGTGAATATGTTGCTCTCGTACCACTATTAATGGAAGATAGAAATGAATAAGAGAACTTTGTGTTGCTGGTTTGACTTTCATGGAGAGGATGGAAGGTCATTAAAAAACGCTATTGCATTGTATGTTTCCATTGTATGTCTCCAAACTTCAAACTCCAAAATATACAGGCTGAAACACACCTATTTCATAAAGCCGTAGTTTAATGGTTTGCTTTGTTTTCTGAATATAAATATTAATACAGATTGCCAGCTGTGTTCCTGGTTCATTAGTATGAATCATCTAACTTTTAATATTTTAGAATTGGACTCTTATTTACATTTCTGTATTTCATGATAAAATTTCATGAGAAATTAAGTTGAAGTAGCTTTAGCTATCAAGATGGGTGGCATATACATTTAATAAAAATAAATTATCTTTATTTTATTGTCTGGCTTTAAAATAATTATGTTTTTCTGACTTATTACTGTTAAGGCCAATAAGGCATTGAAGTAAATGTTGTCAAGGATTTTGTATTCTTATAAATTGTTTCTCAGTTATTACATCCTGAGTTATAGAGATCCAGATATAATGTATAAAAGTTGAAATCAATATTTTATACATTATTGAAATAGTCTAATTTAATTTTTCTTAATGTGTTCTATTATTGAAGTTGTCTGACTTTATTGTCACAAGCTTGCTTAAATTTCTTGATAAATATATTCAGGCATGTTTCTTCCATACTCAAATCATAAGGTAATCTGGATGTCAGTAAAGTGCTGCCTTTCCATTTCAGATGCATCAAATGATTTAGATGACTTAACCTTCTTTAATCAGAAGAAAAAGAAGAAAAAAACAAAAAAGATATTTGATATTGATGAAGCTGAAGAGGGACTGAAGGTAAGTTAACACAGGGTTAAAGGCATGTTTGTTTCTTCATTTAACTAACTTAAGATTTAGGTTTCCCCCCACCTCCAAATAGCTGTCTATATTGTGCTCTCAGCTTAAAAGAGGAAGAAACTTGCTACTGTATATTATCAGTAAAAAACTCCAAATTATATTAAAAACATTCTAGTACATCCCCTAGACTTTTGCTTCATAGGTGACCTCTGAATTAGTTGATTATTGTCATGATCAACAGAGGTGCATATTTTAAATTACTGTACATTATTTTATATCTACTGCTTGTATCATTATTATTAATCTTTTTCTCCTTCCCTACCCCCAATTGTTCTCAAGGACCTAAAAATTGAGGGTGATGTGCAAGAAACAGTAGAACCAGAAGATGACCTTGATATCATGTTAGGAAAGAAGAAGAAAAGAAAGACGGCAAAGTTTACAGATGAGGATGAAGTATTAGATAAAGAAGAAGGTAACCTTTTTTGGTGATATCTGTTGCTGTTGGTCAAAGTTGGTAACACTGAAGGTTGATACAAAAAGTGTAACTATATTTTAATTTTATAACCAGGTTGGAAGGCGAGCTATTGTAGCTATTAGCATTCTGTCAAATGCTGCAGATGTAGAGAAAATTTTGGTCCAATACATTGGCCATCTTCAATTGATGTTATTGTACAGGGTACCACAGTGTCTTCTACATTGCCATAAGCCATAGCAATTTAATTTCAGAGGGCAAAGGAGAAGTTGTGAGTCCAATAACTGAGTGCTTCAATGAGGCTCTTATGCTTTCTAACCTCTAGCTATGCAGCCATTTTCACTCCTTGTTCTCTTTGTCCCAGATCTTCATGTCTCTTTCATTTGCCTTTTCAGAATCCAAGATAATACTTCAAAGTATTTGAAAGGTGTGGGGATAGTTTTAGAGTAACATAATTCAGTATGGGTATTCCAATAAATCTGTGATTTATGGTTTTACATTTTCAAAAACACATTAAAAAGCATTGTAATTCAGCCCAATATATGTTATTAACCATTAGTGTTATAGTTCTAATAAACTTATATTGTCTTTGGAAAGCTCAGATTTGATGCCTGTGTAGTCATTCAGACATCATGGGCATCACAAAACTAAATAAGAAACAAAAGTACATTCTTAAACCCAGACAGGTATTAAATTTCATTCGATATGGGATAATGATATTTTCTATTGGAACTTTTTTGGAAACTTCTAGCACTACTGAACTTCCACTTCTGCGTAAAGAGAGGAAAGATAAATTTGCCTTTCCAAAGCTATGTCTCACCTTATTCTTAATACTATTTGGATTAGCTTTCCCTTTCCCCTCAGTATCTCCTCATTTAGCAAAGGGTCTAATGTAAGAGGTTCTGGCTGAAAAATATACGTGTTTGCGTCACATAAAAATATGCTGTGCACATTGTGGAATGGAAATAGATAAAGTATGAAATAATGTTTAATTTTGCAGCATTGGAAGATGATGACAGCAAAAAAGATGATGGAATCTCTTTTAGCTCTCAGTTAGGACCTGCATGGGCAGGCTCGGAAAGGGATTACACATATGATGAGGTAAATACTTTCCATACCTTTTAACTAATTCATCTATTGGTTTTTTATAATCTGGGGAGCATAATATAAATTGAGTTTAAATATTGCTTTGGATTTATACTAAACTGAAGAGAAATACAGCTTTGTTATCTTAGATTGAATTGTTTATTCTACTTCAGGATTAAGGAATTATGAGTAGAACATGCATATTTTAAATAAATAAAATACTTTTAGAGAAGGAGATTTTTTTAAAAAACTTACTATGCTGACGTTTCGAATTCAGAGAAAATTCTATGCTTTCCACCCCCCCCCAGGTAAATAAATTAAGACACGAATATGTACTAGTATCAATTTATATTAATCACTATTAATTAATTTTTTATATTCTTTTCTTTATACTTGCAGTTGCTGAATCGTGTATTTAACATCATGAGGGAAAAAAATCCTGATATGGTAGCTGGTGAAAAAAGAAAATTTGTTATGAAACCTCCCCAGGTTGTAAGAGTAGGAACAAAGAAAACATCATTTGTTAACTTCACAGATATCTGTAAACTGTAAGTTTTTTTACACTGCAGTTTGGGAGAGGAATTAGTAAAAGTCAAGGAATTGTGTTATCACTATTGTTCAGTTATGAACTGTGAGGTTACATAGACAAGACAGTTAATTCATCTGCAAGTGCAGATATCTTATTCTGAAATGACTGTTGCAAGTGTACAGGATTCATTCAGTGATCAACTGGGAATTCTTTTAGCCAAGTAATGAATATGGTTTTTGTGAAATTCCTGTTCATTTGTGCTAGAAAAATTCCTAGTGAGGTTGAGCTAGTATCTGGAAGTGTTTTAGAACCACCAAAATAATGATTAATTAAGAGGAAATATAATTAATATGAAACAATAGCCAGCAGGAAATATTGATTTCTCAGCTGCATCCTTAAAAGTTTTTCTTCAGAACTCTAGACTGAACATGTAAAGCTTGGGAAAGTCAAGATATAATGAGATATTGGAATTGAGGTTAGCTTACATACAAATAGTTAAATGCTTGAATAGTGAATTCAGCAAAGTACATAAGGGCATGGGGTTATACTTTGAAATAAATTTCTTTATATGTACAGATTGTAATGTCGAACAAAATATTTTTATACAAGTAGTCCTTGACTTAAGATGGATTAACAAAAGCTACTTACAACCTCATTCCAAAGTTGTGGCAGCTGCAGCACCTCTGCAGTCACTCACTCTTACGATTCAGTGCTGAGATGCTGCAGTGTTCCCCATTCCCCCACTGGTCTCCACAGGCCTCCCATACCATTGGGCTGCACACCTTCCTTAGTTTTCAAAGATCTCTGGAGCTTGATTAAGGAAAGACAATAGACCACCCTGCTGCTGGGCCATGTGGCACGATCCTGAAAGAGGCATTTTCCACATTGAATTGTGGTCAGTAACAAAGTGGTTTGCTATGCTTCCCTAATGTGAGCTCGGTAGTATTTTGCCATGTTCTGTATATCCATGCTGTGGAGTTTGGGTTAGGAAAAGCATGGCAAGTTGCTGCTTACGTGGCATGATCCCGGGAGCAGTTGCCATTTTCCAAATGGTCATGTTGAATTGTGGCTACTCAGAAAAATGGCTGCTTCCAGGATCATGTCATGTAACCCAGAGACAGAGCGAATTGCTTTGGTTTTTTAATCTGAGCCCCAGAAACCTTTGAAAGATATGTGCTAAATGGGTGACATGAGGTGAGGAGGAGGAGGGTGTGAGACCTGGTAGTGTGTGAAGTAGGCCCAAGGGATGGAAAGTGGAACATGGGTTACCTTGGAATGAGGGGAAATCTTGAGAGGCCTGGGACATGAACTGTACTAGGCCTCCCAGGGCTTCCTGTACCCTCTGTTTAATGATGCGTGCATTCATTTAACAATTGCATTAGACAGAGCAGGGGTGAAGGGTTCTAAGTGAGGCAATCATGTCCTTAATGGCCATCACAATTTCTGACAACAGTGGCCATGAGGGCTATCTGTACAATAGCTGGATGTTTTTTTTAGAATACCCATAATAGTAGTGGCATAAGGTGTTTGGTTTGGTTTTGGCTTATTCTGAGAAAGAAATCTATTCATCATAATTTGTAAACTGTACCTAGTTTCTTGAGATGACATTTCAAAGATGTGAAGCTCCAGATAGTTCAGTTCTGACTCATTGTGAAAATCATTTACTGAAAGTCTTGATCTCATACATGTGAAACTTCACTGCAAACAGTTTTCTTTAGATAAACAAAACGTGCTATTGTAACTTACGGCGCATTGCCATATCTGATATTAGATAAATGTCATTTTGCTGTTTCAGAGTTCATAAACAAATTTAATATTATGTTATCCTTGAGGTTATTATCTTGGGGATGGCCTAAGCTACCTTTAGTTCCTTTTCACTGACTCCTATTTTATCTTCTTCAAATATTCTACAAAGACATTAGCTTTTTTAAAAAAAAATAAGTGTCAACTATTTGTATTGGCATTGCAGATGCCACATGCTACACTATGATAATAAAAGAGATGTATGTATTCGAAGTACTTGTTTTTTGGTAACTAGATAAACTTTCATACTTTTAGATTACATCGTCAACCTAAACATCTCCTGGCTTTTTTGCTGGCAGAATTGGGTACAAGGTAAGTTCTTCAAACTTAGTTTTTTCTGTGATATTTATTCGTCATGAATGTTTCTGAATTTTTGATAGTAGCCTCTGTACAGAGATTATGATATCTCTTCAGCTTCAAAAACAACAGTGTTGATGTAAGCCATTTTAAAAATTGGTTTAAGTAACTTGTGCTTCAATGATTACTTAATGTTATAGAATTTAATGCACAACTTGTAGGTTTTATATTTTTAATAAAGCTGTGCAGATAATTCAGATGGAACTTTTGTTTCAGCCAAGTGGCACTTGTGAAAGCAGCTATGCCTTGGTAAAGATTTGGTGCTTCTGCTTTGATGAATTCTTTACAAGAAGTTCTTTTCTTTTCCACATACATATGTACATACAGAAACCTGGGAAGACCTTCAGAATGGCTGCACCAAATCTTCAAGGGTGGAAATCTAAAGGAAGTCTTTATATTAGAAATATCTATTTTTGATATGCTGTGCTTTTTTAAAATTTAAACGTAAGGAGATGGATTTTTTCACCAGCTTCCCTTCATACAGCTATTTGCACATTAGAGTTCCCCACCCCTCCTTGACTGATTCTTGGAATATCGCTAATACATATTTAAAAGCTGAAATAGTCAAATTTCATCAGAGAGGGGAACACTTCACCAGATAATCTGTTACCTTTGTTTGTGCAGTTAAGATTCATCACATAAAGTGATTGCATATAAAAATACAATTCCTGCTATAGGCTTTTCTCACAAAATGAAAGTTTTGGTTCCCACTCTTTGCTCTAAATGTCCACTTTTGCTGAGTGAGTCTGGCATAGACAACATCTTCCTAGAGCTTCCTGTTTATTACTTAGTTGACGGATTTATTATTTCAAGCTCTTTTTTGCAGTATGGGATTAGTTGTGGTCAAGTAGAGGCTGACCTTTTATTATTACAGTTTTTCCTTGGTATCTATATATAATGGGGAGTCTGTGATTGAGAAGTTCAAAATAATAAAGACACATATCTTTCTACGTATGCAAAATATTTCAATACACAGTACTGATACACATACAGTTTGTAATAAGTATTCAAACTTTTGAAAAATATAACAATTCCTTGTGAAGTGGCCTGAGGAAAAACTTTAAAGGAAAACTATCTTTACTTTAACTTACAAGATATAGAATCTATCTGATCAGGAACCCAGATTAACTTGAATACCACTTCTAACCTTCAAAACTTTTGTACACATTTATCAGTTATCAGCCAGCAATATTCTGCTAGCACTACTGATTGCCATTCTGTCTTCAATGGCCACTTGTTTGGCTCAGCTGCAATGTGGGGATAAGAAGGATACATAGATGTTGTATTTATTCTCTTTTTATTACTCTGTTCCATTTCTATCATTTATGCTCTCCTCAGTATACTGTTTTTTCTGTTGTGTTTTTCCCTAGAAGGCAACACATGTCTATAGAATTTTCTTTTAGCTGTTTTAGAACATAGCCCGCCATAAGCATTTAAAAGAAAATAGTTGTTGTATTTCCACAAAAGCTACGGGGTATGCCAAGGATATTAACATTTGTGTGTGCATGCTGTTGAGTCCGTCTTGACTCCTGGGCAAATCCTTGCAGTTTTTGTAGCAACATCGTCATTTCCTGCTCCTAGGGCTATAAGAGAATGACCGGCTCAGTGTCATCCAACTAGCTCATGCCTAAGGCAGGACTGGAACTCATAGTTTTCCAATTTCTGATTTGTGACTTTAATCATTACACTAAACGGGCATTCTATTTTTGTGTAGCCCTATTTTGGATATAGCACCACCAACCCTTAGGAATGTGTTTAGCTTCACTGTCTGATAAAAGATTGCAGTAAATGGAGGGCCTTTGAACAAAGATTTGCTTATAGCATGCTGAGCATTTTTGGAAGCCTTGAAGCCTCTATGTCATTGAAAATATGCAATTCTAATTTTAATATCTTTTATTTTATTCAGTGGTTCAATAGATGGCAACAACCAACTTGTAATCAAAGGAAGATTCCAACAAAAACAGATAGAAAATGTCTTGAGAAGATATATTAGTAAGTGTATTCTATTATTGCAGATTTATGCTGCTTCATGTAGTTTTAATCTTGCTTCTTACCTAACTATTAGTAGTGCTAAAATTGCCATCCTGTAATTTCATTAAAATCTTCTGAGACTACCATATTTTTACTGGTCGTCAAAAAGGAAAAAATGCTACAGTAAGAAGTGTCATTTTGAGGAATCACTATATCTTTGATGAGGTGAAAGCAAATAGCACAATTATAACAGTGCTATATTTGAATAGTCATGTTTGTATGGGAAAATGTAAATCCTTGGTCTTTTGGTTATATACTAAAGAATTATTCATTCTGGTTTTAGTTGATGTAATAGTATTTTTTGTTTCCATGATGTTACAAAATGTATTGTTACCGTATGGAAACAAATGAGGTACCAGTTGAATTCTATTGAACAGTATAAACACTATGTGGTTATTTCCATGTTCTATTGTCAGTTGCATATTAAAAGATTATAGAGGTACACTGTTAAAAGATCTCAGACATTTCCAATGCAGAAGATTGAATAATGGTATACTGAAAAGGAAGTCTGGCAAATGTTGCTGATCATTAATAATGCTTATTTTGTACAGTATGGACCAGTGATATAAACTTAGTAAGTAGTGAAGAAAGCTAATTAGAATGGTTAGATTTTAACCTGAACAGATAGGTGTTAACAGTGAACCATATTAATGTTTGTTTCACAATTCTGTGCTAGATTGAAAAAAGGTTGTGACTTTTGTATCTGCCAAAGCCAAAAGTCAGTTCTCTCATGTTGTAAGCTGTTTGCAAGACATTCTACTACTTTTGTGTGATATATAAGTGCATGCAATAAAAGGGCAGAAAAAAAATATGCTTAAGGGCAGTTACGTTGCAATGAAAAAGATCAATACTGTGTTTACTAATTTTATGTTTTATAGTCTAGTAAGTTTGCAGTTGGTTTTGAAAATTACTCTACCTGATCATTTAAATGATGTGCATAATGGATAAAAATGTGTTTACTATTTGTTTATAATTTCTTATTGCTAATATAACTTATTTAATTGTTCCCACAGAGGAATATGTCACCTGTCATACGTGTCGGTCACCAGACACAATCTTGCAGAAGGACACCAGATTATATTTTTTGCAGTGTGAGACTTGCCATTCGCGCTGCTCTGTTGCCAGCATTAAAACTGGTTTCCAGGCTGTCACAGGCAAGAGAGCGCAGCTCCGTGCCAAAGCTAACTAGTTGGCTGGTTGACACTGAATTTTTGCGAAATGATCTGGGTGCAAATGGCTGGACAGGCTTACAACCTGAATGGATTTACGATGTATTAAAAACAAGATAGTAAAAGCTGCTTTGCTTTGGGTTGGTCTGTGAAATTCTTGCAAGATCAGATCCTCAAGCTGTTGGCATTTGCTAACTGAATATTTTACCAACTGTCAAGTGATGAGAAAGGAGGTGCTTTTTAATCTGTTCATAGAATTCTGTAAAATGCAAGAGAAATTAAAGTTATTATAACAGTGACTCATTTGAATTTTTTAGTTTCTCTGTTAACAATAGTATGAGTACATGCAAGCGTCATGGCCAATTGTGTTATAAAAACATTTGTTGTCCTAATTAAGTGTATTGTAAAAGCAAATGGGCATAGTTGAATTAATGTAATGGAACATATCATAAAATATTAAATCACAAATAGGTTCTCCCAGTTGAATATCTCCAAGCATATAAGAATTTCATCATCTGGTTACAAGGGACAAATCCTACAGATAAATGTGAGATTGGTATTAATTGGGTTTAGGTTAGCTGTCTAGCCAGCTTTCTTTTGCATTTTGGTGTTCACTTTGTGCATTAGGATGGTCTAATAAAAATTATTAAAATATACCATATCAAGATGCCATATTAATGCATGTAATTTTGGGAAAACATTGCAGTGTAATTGCACATTATCATTGCCATAATCTAGAGTTTTTGTAATGCTAGCTTTCAGTACTGTACTAAGAAAGTTAAATCTTGAAATTGTAAAAATGAATTATGTATGTATCACCCATTTAAATGAAAACACAAAGTTAGAAAAAGCGCAGCTATTAAAACTTAAATAATCTTACATTCCTCCCCCACTCCCAAAGCACTGTACTTTCAGTTTTTGGAAAGGATACCCAGTGTACATTCTTCCTATCAGAGTTCACCAATTTCACGACTGACCCAGAAACCAAGCTGTCAGAAAGCTTGGTGATCTTAATGCAGTAGCACATCAGTTTTTTTCATGCCTTAAAGCATAGTTGTGTAAGAAGGTTATATTCACTGGGATCTTTCAAAAGAGGCTTTGGATAAATTAGTACAGAAATCATGAACTAAGTCCCATGGACTAAGAGGACCTGTGGCCTTAGCATTTGGGATTTTTGACCAAGGACGTGGGAATAGAAATAAGTGGACATCTTTTGCAATTGAATATTATAAAGATAATCTTTATTGGAGCTGATGCTGAACAGCGTGGGTTCAGATTTGATGGTGACATCAGTTATTGGTGAGTGATGTAAACAAAAGGGCTCATACAACCACGAGTCTGCATTGAATAAATTGGAATTGAAATGGCAAATACTATTTTTTTCTACAAAGTTCAGAGTGAAGCAAGGCAATAAATAAATTCATGATTTATTATTTTTGTTTTAATTTTTTTGTTCATCTTAGCTGCCCAGAATTGTGGATGCAAAATAGGTGGCCATATAAGCTGTTTAAATACTTAATGTGTGGAATGAGAATTTAACTGGTGAATACTAAAAATGAATCTTGATGTGGTGGTGGGTATGTGTGTAAAAATTACTTACCTTCTGTGAAGAAGATACAAAATAATTAGAAAAGAGATTGCAATAAAGTTATTAGTATCTATCTCATTCTTTCTGCAAATACTGTGTATGTGTCTAGTTAAAAGAATTATAGAATCTGGAATCAGCCAATGAATTTGAAAGAAGGAAGTATACTCATAGTACATAGTATTCATCATTACCAAATATGATACAGACTGCCAAATTGATGTTTAAAGTTAAGCCCATAGAGAAGGCAGTTTTTATGACAATTACATGACCTCACCAGGGTCAACCAGACAGGAATTTTGCCTCATCCTGTGTGTAAAATTCCTCAGTTATCCAAGTAACTGAGGTAAATTGGGCTGGATTACATAATACTTCAGTATGATCTAGCAGGATTCTTATATTTCTTTGCCTGCTTGGATATTTTAAAAATGATACTTTTGAATTTAAAACTAAAACATTTGCAAGGTTTAAGGAAGAGTGCCTTTTCACTACTGTTTCAAGACTTCTGATTTATCTTCTCATAATCCTTGTTACCAATATTGAAAGGTATTTGGTTAATGGATGTTAACTGTGATACTTTAACTAAAGTTGAATCTAGAATCTTTGTTGGAATTGTAATTTGTATGTAAATAGACATTCAACTGAGTTTGCCAGGAAATTAATTTTTATATTTTCTCCAAAGGTTTTTAAGAATAGAAAAGTCTAAAGTCGTTTTTTTTTTAAAAGACTTAAATAGCATCTGAGCTGTAATGAATGTTGGATGTACCTTATAAATTGAATAAAGTCAGGATCAGTGACTCTTGTATAATTTTCCAAATTGTGGTTGTTTTCACAGGATGCTTTTGCAGACATCCAGCATTAGCTACACCTCCTCTCATTTAATTATTTAAATAGGAAAATATAACACCAGTATTGTTTAAAGCCTTCTGAATAAAACAGAAGACTTCCTAGGATTGTTTGAAAGTTCATAATGTACAAACCTTGTTGAAGCAAAGTATGTTTTATTTTTATTTATTTTTTTATTTGGTTTGATTTCTGTAGCTGCCCATCTCAAGTGACTCTGGGCAGCATGCATTGTAAAAGCATAAAAACAATTTAAATCAATATAAAATAAATATATATGAATGCAGAGTAAATTATTGGCATGGATATTAATATAGCTAAAAAAATGGTCCCTTAACATTCCCAAGGGCCCAGATCTAGGCACAAAAGACCAATAAGACCTTGGTCATCCTAATTTCTGAGGAAAGAGTGTTCCAGATGGCAGAGAAGGCAAGACTGCTTCCTATCAGCTGACATTTCTAGGAATACCTGTTACAGGCCCAACATGCCTGATAGAATTGGGCAGGTAGAAACAATGGGGAAGACTACCCTTTAGGTAACCCAGCCCAAGCCATGAAGGGCTTTAAAGGTGATAACCAGCATCTTTCATTGCAGTCCAGTTGGTGAATGGAAAATTGTCAGATATTGTTGAGCTATGTTAATTTTAGGATCCTATAATACTTAACTAATGTAGTGTTTGCCATCTCTTCCATAAGTCGGGAAAATTTTATCACCTATGATGCTCCAAATACAACTATTCTAAATACCATATCATATCCTGATTGGCAGTTTGCCCTAGCTGATGTTCCGTGACATCTGATCCTTTCCTTATGCTTTCCTTACGCTAACTAGAAAAGTTTCAGGGAATTAATACGGTAAAAGCAAAAAAACCCTTGGAGTCAAGGTTACCTTCTCTGTAAGGTAAACATTGTCTTCTCACTTTCTGGATCCAGATAAAGACTAGGGCAGTGTTGGTGAACCTTTTCTGCACCAAGTACTGAAATAGAGCACTGGGAACCAGAAGAGCAGCTCCCCAGTGCACATGTGCACGCCAGGAAGCTGAGCTTCTGTTTTCCGGCACTCGCGCATAAAGACCAGGTGGCTGGCACACATGTGCATGCTGGAAACTGGAAGCCCAGCTTCCCAGCGCACACGTGTCCTCCAGTGTCTGGCATTCCCACTTGGTGGAGACCAGCTGGCTGGCATGCATGTGCACGCCAGAACCCGGAAAAGCAATGGGCAACAGTGGGTGTGCCCAGAGAGATGGCTTTGTGTGCCACTTCTGGCACCTATGCCATAGGTTCACCATCATGGGCTAGGGAGTTCAAAAATACATGGTTATTTGGGTCATGGTCCTAAAAAAATTCTAGTTTTGTTAACGTAAGTAAAATAGTCCCAAAGGTGCTTTTTTTTTCCTTTGAAGATGTTTTGTTTCTCACCAGAGAAGCTTCTTCAGCAATAAGCTTCAGCAATAAGTAGAGGTTTTTAAATACCACAGCACATACATACATCTATGTATTGGAGAATCAATTCTATTTTTTTTTCACCGCCTCATTCATTAGAAAAATGAGAAAAAGTATATGCTTGAAGGATTTCAATTCAGTTTGCAGGACTAGATTAATAAATCTAGTCATGGAATGTTATGCTTAAATGTGAAGCAACAAAGCTACCTTATGGGTTTTTGCCTGCTAAACATCGTGATTCCCCTTTTATTCTAGCACTTGTGACATTTTGAAGGCTGGGATAATCTTTTATAGTTGTAAGGTATAGTTGGTGCTTCAAGTAACTACAATATAATAAGTGAGTCTAAACCAGCCTTAAAAAAAAAATCTATTCTGAGCATTCTGCTATTTCCTAAGAAGCTGGTACCATTTTTTTCTTGTTTTACAATAAAAATTTCTAAAAATCAAGCACTTATCTTTCTGTTCTTTGGATAGATTGTACATAGTTTTATTGCCATCAATTAGCTCATCTTCGGATGTGGCCATGTTGCCAGCATGCCTCCCTTATTCCCATTATAAGGTGCCCAGTCACCTTGAACTGTGAGATTGGCAGCATATGAAATTAATAACTAAAATGCCTCACTAACCATTCTTAAAAGACATATTCATGAGGATACATCATCTCCATTGCCTCCATTTCATTACAAACATGTTTGTCTTGAGTTAGTCTGACATTTAGATAACATTTTTCATCTGACACAAGTCTTGCTGTATGATTTTGCCTTTGATGCATCTTTATTTTATGGAAATATGGAACAGAACACTTAGATAGGTCTTCACAAATGTGTCTCCCTAATTGGCTGGTAGAAAACAATGAAGCAGGAGCCTCTTTGGTTTACCTAGAAGTCTTACCTGCAACCTATATATCCTAATGTGACTGTTGCAATTATTTTTCAGCATGGGATACTGCTGGTGATGTTACTATCCTGTGAATAAGCTGAAACCTAATGGAATTCTATTAATACCTGGTAGGCTGCTGTGATACTTTCTTTGTGATTATCTGTACCCACAATGTCAGCATGCAAAAGCCTCATAGCAGCCATAAATAGTTCTTCCTATTGTAAGTGTGGCTTCGGGAAATAGTTCTGAAATCCAACCGTGGGCAAACATTTGTGAACCTTTTAGAAATATTTGCAATTCTGCAGAACTATAATCTGTGGTGTGATCAGGGCTTCTTAAGTTTTATTAATAGATGTAAATGTCTTAATGTGTACCATGTCTTTATTGAACATATTAAGTCAACATTAACTGTTCTTGTAAAAATATATATAAGAAGCTCTAGGATTAATAATACGATGTATTGAGATAGCTATTCCAATTTATGGGATGAATTTGAGAAGTTTTCCTCTCAAAAAGCCATTTCCTTTGAAGTCTGTTTTTTATCATGCAG